GAGAGAGAGAGATATTATAGTTTTTCAAATCCACTTGAAGCCCGATCTCGAAGAGCAGCTGATCATACGACAATAATCCTGCATTTAAGTTCAGGTATATGGGCCCATATTCCCATGGTATTGTTTTCATTTATGTAGGACTTAGAATCGAATGTATAGGTTTCAGGGCCCGAATCAAAGATATTCTGTCTAATTTAGGCTGATGTAAATTGTAACAAGGGATTAGACCTTTGGAACTTGTCTGTTCCCAATCTATGATATAAAAACCTGTGTTTCTATGATATGGAATGCATGGACGAATTTGGCCCCGAATGTGTTGTCATCTGGTTATTCATTTGATGTTGCTTTAAACATCTTAATTGATTAGTTTGACATCACATTTTCGGAGCGTCCAGTAGGCTGAGATATTTTTGTGCTTTTACTCTTATTTTGCTAGCCCCACTCAATTGGGGTGGTGCTCATGTCAGTAGCAGGAATGCCTGCACAATGGCATTCCCTACCCATGCCTAAAAGAGGTGTCGTACTTTAAGAATGGTAGTTTTGATTGCCTTGGCCATCTGGAACGAAAGGAACCGCCTGAGGTTTAGTAACAAAGCAAATAAAATCTAGTGGCTACAAGGAATGATTAAGGCCACACAAGCTTGGGCCAATGTTACAAAAGAATTCTCAGGGGTTTCCACATCAGACTTTGAGACTCGGTTATTAGAAATGACAAGAGGCTCATTGCCGAGAGAACCAAAATCAAAGGTCTGGGAGCTACTACCTGATGGAGCAGTTAAACTCAACTTTGATATTCAAGGGGAACCTAAGAGGAGCTGGGTCATGTTTAAGGCACACTTTGCACCTCGTAGACTCGCAACGGCGCATGCACAGGTGTGTATCTGGTTTGCAGTCTACAAACAATTTATTTCGGCCAAAAATTTTGAATGCAGTAAGCCATGAGATGCAGTTTGGCATATATAAGTGCAAGGAGCTGATAGCGTTGTTTCGACCACAGAAGAGTAACAACCTGTTTGGATAAGTATGTTCTACTGTAGGAGTATAAGGTGCTGTCTGATGCACAATTTACTACAGATAAGGCAGTTTTAACTGTAGATGTTAGTCTCATGTGCAACAGTTCATTTTTTTGGAACTGAAAGTTGGAAAAAGGACTGCTGACTGTTGGCTATCTTTCTCATGAACTGATATGACTGTTAACAGTCGAGGTATGATTCTTCAGAAACAGCAGAAAGGAACAATTGCATTCCAATATCAAAAGGGCATTCACTCTCTATAGAAACAACTTGTACCTCACATTCACATTCACTGTGTTTTCTTTTTTACACAGTTTTTACAACAGTCTCTTTCTTCCTCATTTTCGCTGTCTAAAACACTGGCAACTCTGGTGCAGTGAGATCTTCTTATTCTTGTACATTTGAATGACCAAGATAAGTTTTAGGTTCTATTTCGTTGTATCCTGGGGATGAATTTTCCTGGAGAACCTGCAGACTAATTTTTTCTTAGGGGGCATATATTGTCTTGTGATAGCCTCTTTTATGCGTCAGAAAACAGGGAAATCATTCTGTTGTTAATGCTTTTTAAATCCTTCCGCCATTTCAATTGGCAAATTTACTGTACACATCGACCCCATTTCACCCACGCCCAAATTATCCAACGTATAACTAATATCTTAATTAAAATAGTGACTAACGTAGCATCAAATGAATGTCAATTTGGATATTTTGATAATTCTAATGAGACTAAATATAAAACAAATTTCCCTTACATACCAGTAAATTTGTAGAAAAGATTAAATCCTCCTATCAAAATAGGAAATATTCAGAAATAGGTAAATAAATATAAAATAACATATTTGTGCAGTGAAGAAATCTCCTTTCAGGAGAGGCATTTAATATGCAAAACATGGGATATTTGCATGCGAGGATGAAACAACACATCCAGGAATGGTTCAAAATAATAGTCTGTCTTTAAAAATCAATACTATATTTCAATGTTTTAAAACAACAACTTGCCCTGGGACTAGCTAGGTGCCTGAGATGAATTGAATTACCCGGTCCTAAGTAGACATTGTGAGTCTTCTCTAATAAAATCGGAAATTTTTAATAATATTCACTGTTCCTTATAAGACTTGTTTTGAAACCTAATCAGATGTACTCAGGTAAACTCAGATGACTCTTTAAAACTTGGCTAGTTTCTTCATTTTATTCAACAGGGCAAGTTGGGGATTTTTTAACTTGGGATCCTCATGAGCCCAGTGGGGTCATATGAGTCCAAAGTTTTTGAAGTGAGCTTTCAACAATGAATGTCATCACTTAACTCAATGTGTCAGCCCTTCATCACCTTCCCTTCATTACCTTCTTAGTTTGGTGACCCATTGCACATCAGAACAGGAATACCGCCATATGACCTCTTGTAAGATCCATTTTCAAGTGGATCTTTACACCACTGACGGTTGTTGGATTTGTAGTAAACAGTATTGGATATCATTTCATTGTACAAGACATTAGCAGATTATCAAAAGTAAAGTCAACATCTCTTTAAGTTATAAATTTACTAAATATTCTGTGGAATATGTATAGAGGGGTCCTTGTACATCAGTTTTAAGGTATCTTCATATTTAGGTGTTTTGTTTGTTGCTGTGTAAATATCAATAGCAATATCCCAGCATCATAATTTTCACATTCACTTGTTAATTTGGATTTCCATATTGAAATATCATTTGATGGCCCCCCATCATATGTTGCTTAAGTTTGTGATATTTCACTGTTATCATTGAATATATTTGTCAACCAAATCCATTGAAATCCGGCAATTATGGATGCCTGCTCCTTTATGCTCTGGCTATTGATATGATGGTTGAAGTGGTTGTGAAACCAGCTTTGTATTCTCTTCTCCTCCACTTTTGTTGACTGAGCTAAATCCTTGGTTTATGTATTTTATTGCCTAAGCTATTATGTTTATTTTCTGTAATATTGGTCTCCGAGAGTGGAGCTGTTTTGAGGGAAGATACTATGTACTGCATTTTGCAGTTGAGATGTTCGTGAACATCAAGGTGTTTAATTAGTTCTAGTCACTCATCATCATAGCCTTTTCCCAATTAATTGGTGTCGGCTCATTAGTTCTAGTCTTCTTGAAAATCCAGCCGACTAAGATGCCCCAAACTTACGACGCATCCAGTTTATCTTTTCATGGGGTGTTCATTCAGTGTGATCACTAATATTTTGATTCAACCAATAGAAGCATTAAACCTATCTTTACTTCATGATCTTAGTTTTCTAGTTTTTTTTTTTTAATTTTAAACCACTGCTCGAGTCAAAAGATGTTCTTTTTCCTTACCGGGCTCATCTAAAGACTAGTGGTTCGCACGCTTCCATTCAGGTATCTTTGCTTTCAAGAATACATCACAGAAATCTTGTGGCATTCCTTGGGTACTGTCAGGAAGAAGGGAAAAGCATCCTTGTATATGAGTATATGCACAATGGAACCCTAAAGGAGCATCTTTATGGTAAGTAATTGTTATCTCTAACTGTTGGGTGCCTTTTATTGTACCATAATACTATCGACAAACTGTTCCAGGGCCTTTGACTCAAGAGAGAGCTATTGATTGGATTAAGCGACTTGAAATTGCTGAGGATGCAGCTAAAGGTCAGTTCTCATAGTCTTAGAATTTGAGTATTTCACTTGGTCATTCGCTTTCTATTAGTAGTGATTCTTGGAATCTTATATCAGCAATCGAGTACCTTCATACTGGTTGTATCCCAAGCATCATCCATAGGGATCTTAAAAGCAGTAATATACTTCTTGACAAGCACATGAGAGCCAAGGTTTCGGACTTTGGCCTTTCAAAACTTGCTGTGGATGCATCTTCGCATGTTTCGAGCATGGTTCGAGGGACTGTTGGCTACTTGGATCCTGAGTAAATCTTTTCTTATCAGCTTATATAAAATAAACATGCCTTTTGACTAATTTTTTATCACTTTTGCTGGTACAGCTGAGATTCTTCTCAATTCACGACCCAATTATTGGTTAGGCTATCTAAAAGGAGAAATATTATATTATTTTAAATTATTTAGATATTCGAGCCAGCTTTTAACTGCCTCATGTATTTCCTTCACATTCCTTTTTATGCCACTAAGATGGACTTATATAGTGAAAAATACTTATTTCTACTTTCGGTTCTTCTTTTTCTCTCTCCTGGTTGAATCAAATCAAATTCTTACTCTCCAACAACAACAAACTGTTGGCTCCTAATTCTGTTTTTTTTTGTGAAGTTACCTGTTTTGCCTCCTAATTCTTGTTACCGGACAGGTATTACATCTCTCAACAATTAACAGAGAAGAGTGATGTCTACAGTTTTGGTGTCATTCTTCTGGAACTTATCTCAGGTCAGGAAGCGATATCCAACGAAAGCTTTGGAGTTCACTGCCGCAATATTGTCCAATGGGTCAGTGCAAAAAATATGCAGTTCCTTTACTACATTGCTTGTATAAGTTCAGGTGAGGTATAATTCTATCCAATGAATTATGGTATGCAAGACTCCATGGCTGCCACATCTACTCTCCATTCCCAATGATTAACATTGGAGATCAAATGGAGTGGGCCCAGACATTCGTCCACACCCAGTTACATGCACCATCTGTCGATTGGAATGGAGGGTAGATGTGGCTTCGAGTATCAGATACCATAGTCATTGCGTACTTTCCAAAAAAGTAAAATATATCCAAAGGACTGGTTTAACGAAGTCAACAGTAGTCATCTCCATCCAATAAAATCAAGAAAGGTGATAGAGAGAGAGCCAGATCCAAAGAACAGGACCTGACCCCAAAAACACAACTCTCTTCATTCACCATCTATCATTTCATTGGATGATGATGACCGCAATGAACTTATCTAAACCATAGGCCGTCGGATTATATTATATTTATGAAAATTTTATCTGGGAGATCCTGTTATCTATATGCAGGCACGTTTTCGCATTGATAATGGAGATATCCAAAGTATTATTGATACATCTCTCCAAGGCAATTTAAATGTGCAATCTGTGTGGAAGATTGCTGAGAAAGCAATGCAGTGTGTGCAACCTCATGGCAGGGATAGGCCTCCTATATCTGAAGTTCTTAAAGAGATCCAAGATGCCATTTCTATAGAGAGAGGATCCGAATCAGAAGATAGTTCTGAAGGAGTCTCTAGAGATTCAAGGCATTCTTCGCTTAACTTGGCAACCAATGATCCTGGGGTTTCGGACACTTTTGTTTCGTCTTTTGATGATGATCCAATCGTTTTACCTACAGCTCGTTAGTCAATTGATTTGTCACCCATATTTCCACAAAAATGAGTTGTTTGCACAGTTCTGGCTAAGAGTTGTGGAAGCAGTGATGCAGCAGAGATGCCTTCTTACTTCTGCCACATTTTTTTGTGTGTAGAAACGGGTTGAAATGTTTTGAGAAAGCTGTTTAAAATGAGTCAAACTGCTTATCTAATCTAAATATTCTTCGAAAATTAAAGAATTAAGTTATTTGGAAATGAACAGTGTGAAGTCCAATCCTTTGGTTTTTTTTACAATGCCTTGGAGGCTTAGATGTTGGGGATTGGGAAGGGTAGAACATGGTATGTGAACCCGCGTTGCAACCTTAGGGGTTTTAAGACTAGCGGATGGATGACAGGTTGGGTCGGGGTCCGGGTCCATTTGACTTGGATTGATTTGGGTCTACCCAGGTTCGCGCTACCCTAGACCCAAATCGGTTGGATTGGGTCTGGTCATGGTCTACATTTCGCGACTCTATCTCATATATATATATATATATATATATAGATATATATGAGAAATGATCTTATAGGATCTTCTCCCACCTATGTGTGTAGGACCTCAAAGGATCACCATTATATTTGGTAGGGATTTATAGAAAAGTCAAGTTTCACACCGATAATTTTTCTAGAGATCCATGTCAACTTTAATGGTGATCTTTTGGGGTTCTACACACATGAGCGGGGAAGGATCCTATATGATCATTACTGTATATATATATATGTATATATATAGGAATATTCTAAATTTTACAACCTTACAAATTAGAAAGGTTCAGGATAGGTAGAGTTGTGAAGGGTGGATTTATTAATTTTGTTGTCTATTTTTTTTAAAAAAGTTACTTATGTGGGGTAGATTTGTAAATATTATTACAAGGTAAAGGGTATTTTTGTCATCTCCATAAAAAGTAAAATTGAAATTTTAACTAAAGGACAAGGGGCAAATAAAGTTTTAAGATACTATCTTTCAAAATGTCAATGTATTTTTGCGAAAATTTCAAATTTGTTTTTGCTTAATGTTAAGGTTATCTATTTAAATAATTTTTTAATAAAAAACTAATACTTGTTTTGATAAATACACCTGTCACAATTTTTTTTAACTTGAACTTTTGTATTTTG